TTATGTTCCTTCAAATGAAAATAGAACCTTTGACAAAGTTCCCCACATCTCTTTGCAATAGAAGGGAATCAGTTAAGATGTCATTTGTACCACTGGTCACCTACATATTAGCTATGATACCATTCAACATTCCAAATCATGGAGTTGTTTACTAGCTTTGTATGGAATGGGAGGTATGTAAGAATTAAGCTACAATACCTGTTCCTAAAATGTAAAAGGTTTCTTAAACATATTAAGAAGAAAGCTGTATGATATAGTCTATCAGTGTAAAATTAACTATATTTTAAATGAAAACATAAGCTCCATCGCACTGGCTTTATGTTGAACTATCAATGGCTGAGCTTTATTGGTTAAGGAAATGAGTGAGTATTGGGCCTTTCTCATTCTCAAAAATGTTATCATTCTATTCAGGAGAGGAAGGATGATCCAGTTACTAGGGCAGTGGTCTGGGAGTTAGGAAACCCACGTTTGGTTCCCTGCGGTGCCACAGACTTCTTGTGTGACCTTGAGCAAGTCACTTAGCCTCTCTGCATCAGTAAAATGTGGATTAAAAACACTGACCTACCTCACAGAGGTGTTGTGAGGATAAATATATTAAGGATGCAGAGATTAAAGTGAGGCACTCAGAAACTACACTAATGTGGGACATATAAGTACCTAAAATAAATTATCATTAAAAGTGATATAAATCTTCAACTCAAAGAAATTTTGGAGATGCAATAGTAGTTCTGGGAAGTTAGTAGGGCTGTCTAGAAATTGGGAGATACTGGAGAAAATCTTCCTATTAAAAAAAAACATTTGCAATAGAACTTACCCTGCAATAAATTCACAATCATTTTAGGAGAAATCCAGTGGTTACAAGTTAGTCCAATTTTTAAAAAGCATTTGACTTTTGAGTGGCATTGATAGGGACAAATATGTAATTCATGCGTATTTCCCTGTAGTGACAGCCTGGACACTTTTTTACTAGATGTTATAATGTTTAAAAAGTTATTTGCAGTAAAGAAAATCAGTCTAAAATTTTCTCTAGTACTCAAGATAAAGCAATTCAGTATCTGCCCAGATGATATAACACAGAGAAATTAGCCCAGCTGGCACTTTATGGGACTTGGGATTGGGTGCAGGGATTTGGTTCTTTATTTTCCTTTCCTTACTTTTATGGTTTTGTTTTGTTTTCTTCAGTAGCCCTAAGGAGACGTGGGTGAGCTGTGCTTTTTTATCAGTGTTTTCTACATGGTATTGAATTCCTGATGTTCCCATACTGTAATAATTCCTGTATGGGGTTTGTAGAGAGCAGAGAGTGTTATGTTATTGGAATTCCCAGTTCTGTTCTCTCCTGCTTTGTTTGACATATTGTGTGTGTGTTACATTAATTACTCTATTGATCTATGGGGACTTGATAATTATTCTGCAATGGTGTGCACCCAGTATTCGCAGGTGCACATTGGGATATGTGCTTTCATATTGAACTTCCTAATACAATCTCATGAGTATTGTATAGCGCCTGCCCAGTATTTGGCACAGAAAAGAGAAAAATCTAACTCCTGCACAAGAACTAACAGCTCAGTCTGGGCTGTAGCCTCCTGCCTCGAAGCTGCCCAGGCTTCACACTGCTAGGACTGAGCCCCTGAAAGCCTATCAATCATGGGAGCTGAAGGTGATGTCTCTCTGTTGCCAACGAAGGAAACTTCTGAGATAGATAAACAGGAAACACGTGAGGGATTCCAAGTCCAGCCCAAGATGCCGCCAGAGGGACAGAGACAAAGTTAGGAAGTTACCCAGGGAGCACATTTAGGGGTATCAAGCCCTAAGCCCAGTACAAGGGCTACTGCTTCAAAGGGTCATGAGTCAGAACCTGATGGAGCAGGGCAGGCCCAGGTTCCCCTACCCCCTCACTTTCGCCACTAGGCAACACTAACCCAAGATATAGTCGCTAGACAAGGCAGCCACTGGATTCTCGCCATTAGGTGTTACACCTCAGAGTACATCCACTAAGCCATACCGATGGCCCCAGAACACACAGCCAACCCCTGACAGGTCATTTGAAGGAAATGGTTACCCCAATGGGCTGCAGGGGGGCAGGGAGTGATGGGCTCACAGATACTCTCGGGAAGTTTGCAGTCAGGTCTGAAATTTGTGACTCAGGTTCATCTCCAGTGATGTGAGTGATGGTCCCACTGACACCAGTGTCCTCCTCCTGGCATCCAAGGAACTGCAGAGATCCTGAAAACTGGCCTCTCTGAAGAGGCACTAGGGGAAAATTGAAGGTATGGCAAAGATTGACCCATTGCCATCTGGGCTCACACAGGAGATTTGGGCCCTAATCATGAGTGGCCAATGATCTGGCCAGTGGGGGAGGCTAGCCCCCGGCCCTGCTCCCTTGTGCCCGGTGACCTGCTCCTCCTCCTTTCCTTCTACCCCCACCCCTGCAAGAGCCCAGAGCACCCCCACCATGGTCCATGGCCCCAGCCCAGCCCCAGTGCACTGGGTGGCCGCCCCCAGCCCCGGAGTGCTGAACTCCAACTGCCCCAAGTCCATGTGGGAGGCAGGCCGGGCAGCCCCAGCCAGTCTGGGCCAGGGCAGAGCGCCAGGAACTGCAGGAGCGGGCCTGGGGGTGGAGCATGGGCGGGGCCATGCCAGGCTGTTTGGGGAGGCAGAGCCACCCCCAGCCAACAATACCCGCTGCCCATGGCTCTAACCCTGCATATGTGCCATGAAGGCACTCCTATCAGTGGGCAGCAAAATGTCCCATATATGGGTAAAGCCTGTTCTGGAGCACGAAGGCAGCCCACCTCCCAAGGCGAGGATTCAGGTGGGCACCAGGGTCTGTTTTCCTGGTTGTCGTCCCAGGCTGGGAAGAGCTTCCAGGAACTAAACAAGATGTTAACAACAACAGTGTTCTCCCCAGTCCCAGCCCATAATACCAGCCCCTTAATTTCTCCTGGCACCTAGGGAGCTGCAGAGTCCTTTAATGGGGAAATTCTGAGGCTGTGGCAGAAGGAGACCTTTGTTGTCTGGGCTCCTGCGGGAGCTTTGGGGACCTGACACTGCAGATGTGCCATGGAGGCACCATGAAGATTCTCCCACCAGAGGGCATAAAAGGTCCTGCATATGCATGGAGCCTGATCTGGACATTGAGGGCAGCCCATCTCCCAAGGTGAGGGTCCTGATGAGCCCCAGGCCCGACTTCCTGGTTATTGTTCCAGACTGGGAAGAGCTTCCAGGAAGACATGGAGGAATAAATGTTGAATACTAACACTAAGGTTGCCAAATTTCTAATGGCACAAAACCGAATACCTTTGCCCTGCCCCTTGTCCTGCCCCTTCCCTAAGGCCCCGCCCCCACTCACTCCAGCCCACCTCCCTCCGTTGTGCACTCTCCCCCACCCTCACTCATTTTCACTGGGCTGGGGCAGGGGGTTGGTGTGCAGGAGGGGGTGAGAGCTCTGGCTATGGATGCAGGCTCTGGGGTGGGACTGGGGATGAGGGGTTTGGGGTGCAGGAGGGGGCTCAGAACTGGGGTAGGGGTTGTGATGTGCGAGGGGGTGTGGGCTCTGGGAGGGAGTTAGGGTGTCGGAGGGGGTTCCGACCTGGGGCAGGGAGTTCAGGATGTGGGTGCCGGCTGGGCGGTGCTTAATCCCTGCCCTGGCTCCGCCCTGCTCCCAGAAGGGGCTGGCATGTCTGGCCCCTAGGTAGCTCTGCGTGGTGTGTGCTGCCGCACCCACAGGCACCGCCCCGAAGCTCCCATTGGCTGTGGTTCCCAGGGACAGCACACGGAGCTTCCCTGATTGCCCCTGCGCCTAGGGGTCGGACATGCTGGCTGCTTCTGGGGAGATGCACAGAGCAGGGTAGGCGGTGCTGACTGGAGCCTCCAGGGTCTCTTTTCGACAAGGCGTTCTAGTCGAAAACCAGACGCCTGGCAACCCTAACTAACACATTTTCCTCCCTAGCCCCAGACTGTAATTGCAGGGCCTAACTCTCTCCTTCCCAGCCACAGGCCTCACCTCCACCACTGTCTCATCCTCAGCTCTGGCCCATAACACCAGCACCCCTCACTGTTTTCTCCCGTAATTCAGGCCCGCACATCAGCCTCACTAAGTAAGCATTGGCTCATTCTGACCACTAAATCCAGCCTGTGTTTTTGCTCCTTCCTCAGTCCAGCACACCAGCCCCCGCGCCCCTTCTCCCTTGCTCTGTCTCCATCCATTGGTCCCCATTTGTGTCTCTTTCCTTCCCTCTGCAGTTACGTGGTGCCCATCAGAGCCTCTTCTGCTGCCAGGGCTTTAACCTCAGCCACTTTAGACTCCCGTGTCCTCCATGTGCTAGAACATCAGTCCCCACTCCTGCTATGATATGATATGCTTTTTTATCACAGCATAAAACACTGGACATTAGAAAAGTACTCTGCCTGTAACAGTCACCTCATTCCCCTTCTGTGCCCACTATGTCCCTCACCAGCCATTCTGAGACAGCACTTCTGAGGAAGAGCACAGCCTTCTTTGTTTCTATGGCTTGGTACAATAGTAGAGTGACCCTCACCTTTCGCTGTCTGCCCTGACCTCAGATCTTAGTTTTCATTGAGTACATCAGAAGGGTATCAAATATACAAATAGGCAACTAACGAGAATTCCTGGTGACAGCATCTAATTAATTCTTGTGGGTGTTTCCAAGCAGCTTTGGAGTTGGTCAGTGCCATGGAGATAAGAAATCCATGGTCTGTCTCACCTCTGCCCATTCAGCATCTCAAAGAGCTGCAGATGTGTGTGGGTCACACAGAAGGGCTCTGCGGTGATAGGGCTTTCCACAGTCAAAGGCCCTCTGCTTACAAATTTCTGATCCTTGAGGACATCATGCACAGTGGCTGTCTAAGAAGCACACATCACACAAATTATCACCATCAGTATTTATACATGTTGTAAAACTCATAGTAGATAGACTGGAAAATGGAATTTGGGGAAGTAATTAAGCAAACCTGATGCACACCCAGGAAATTGCCCTGCATGGATACTGCATTTCTTCTGTCATCACCAGAAGCAGCACAAAAATAGCTCATTTATACTGGTATTGCCTACCCCAGGCTTTCAAAAGTCATGAGTCAGGCCTTCAAAATCATGGGATTTGCTCAAAAACCATGAGATTTTTTAAAATAAATTTTGGGTTCTTTGTATTTGCTTTCTGGTTTTTAAGCCTTTAGGGTGAACTCTGGTCATGTTTTCAAGCTTTTCTCTGTAATCATGAGGGCTAGAAACTTACTCTTTTTTAAAATTAAAGCTGAGATTCTGTTGCAATCTCTTGATTCCAATGGCCAGGGCCAGATATCAAATATTGCCAGACTCACCATAAAATCATGAGAGTTGACAACACTGAGTGCCTAAGGAGTGTTTTTATTTTTAAATTCAGGACAACTCAGGGTTGGCCTAACTCTGCTTTCATTGAAGTTACTTCACTTGGAAAATCTCTCCCTTAATTTTGTTTCAAATGAAAGCTTGTACTCTACAGAAATTGACTGGGCCTCATACAAACTGATCCTTTGGTGTATCAGCAGGGAGCACTGGGGGACATTCTCACCTTCTGTGTTTCAGTTCTCTATACATAGCATAGCTCTACATCTTTCCCTGTGGTTTTCTATCTGATTTTGTAATACGTTTGGGTCAGTTACTCAGGCTATCCCTCCTTCTCCGAGCAAGTATCAGCAAAGGGTAGGCATTGAGACTAGAGTCTGGTGGGGCTCAGTGAGAAACAGGAGAGAGTGAGGGTTGACAGTACTGTTGAGTGAAGAAGAGCTGGAAAGGAGCTGCTGGAGGAAGGCTCAAGGGTGAATCTAAAGGACTGGCTAGTGTGTGTCAGAAGACGATAAAGTACAACTTTGGTGATCCCTAAAATTAATCTTGACAAGTGAGCTCGAACTGCACACCTGTCTTTTCTTTGTCACAAACCCCAGGGGCAGAGACGACTCCATATAGCAGCATCTCTGGATGTGTCTTTCTTTGGAGATCTGCACCCCACGTCTGGCTGATAAGCCCAGTCAGGCAGTCCCCACTGAATTAGCCACTTTCTCACAAATGCAGAACTTGTATGACCCACACGCCGCAGCGTTAACATTTGCACCTTGAATTGACACACAGATCGGGTAAAGACTGGAACTGGCTTCTGGGATCCAAAACCTGGAATAGAAAGTCAGAGTTTATAACCAGCTGCAGCCCAGTTTCATGTGGTAAAAATCACTAATCAACCTTATATAAGCCCAACCAGTGCCACCCCTTTGAACTTGAAGTAGAAGTGCATTAAAGTAAGTCAGCTGTCAAGTACAGTCTATCTGTACCTGGTGGGCGTGTGAGTGATGGATGACGAGGAGGTTGGGTAAGTGAGTGAGTGAGTCCATAATGAGTGAGTGAGTCCAGTGAGTGAGTGTGTCCACTTCTTCCTTCTTCATACCTAGAAATTGAACAGTTTCTAGCCATGCAGAGACTTACAAGTCAGTGGAGAAAGCTGTACCATCCTCCCATAACCAGGACCCATCAGCTCCTTTGCGGGATAAGGCAATCCAGAAAGAATAGGAACTATAAGACTGTGCTGAGCTTATTATGAAACCCTGTATGGAAACAAAAGCAAAGCTCTGAATCATATCCCCTCCACAGCCAGTCAGAACTGGAAAGCTGTAAAGGGAGAAAGGCACAGAGAGAAAGGGAACTCACTGGTTTCAGCGTTTATAACAGAGGCTTGTTTTGCAAGGAAATCTGCCTCGGGTTTTCCAGTCCCAGCAGTTAGTTCTATTTCACAGGCCAGGAAAGGTGAGGTGCTGAATGCTCTCAATAACTATGGGCTCAGAACTTCCCAGGATCATGTAATGGGCCTGGAAGAATTCTTTCCATCAAACTCTGCGTACAGCAGTCATAAGGGAAGTGAAAGGTCTTAGCCCTTGAGATGAGCTATGTCTGGTGTTCTGATTAGGCTGGCCAAAATACGAGTAATCAAATCATATGCTTCAGGGTTTAAACTGATCATCAATGGGAGTCTGTGAGGAATTTTCCCCACAGTGAACATCTTTGCCTTCCCAGTCAGGTTTGCTTTCATGTATTACATTCTGCTTCATCTGGTATTGAAGGGATCAGGAAATGAGATGGGCTGGGTGTTTTGATCTGGGAGGTCAGGAAGCAGGATGACAAGCTAGACTGACTAATTTTCTAATTCAGTAAGGCAAGAGATGTAAAGCAAGCCAAGTTTAGGACCAGTGGTCTGTTCCAATATGGCTGGAGATTGGATATCAAATAGAACTGCTAAATGATCTACTGAAGTTTGGTTTGAGGTGGGATAAGGAAGTACGTGGAACAGTCGACTTTTATCTGGTAGGGCAAGCCCTATGGCCCGGATCCTTTGATAGGTATATATAAGCATAATCCACTGGTCAGTGGAACTACACTGATTTACACCAGAAAAGGATCTGGCCCTATGTTCCTATATATTTGAGTCTGAGCACCATCTCCTGGATTTCTCCTCCACTAAGCTGAACATTAGAAATAAAAAGAATACCCTTAAAGTAAGATAGAAAAATGAATCATTACCAGCTCTTCCTTACTCTCTATCTTAAGAAATCTGGAATCCAGGGAAGAGCAAAGAGCTTTGCTTTCTTGCCAAGTTTTCCATTTGGTAGAAAGGAAGTAACAGTTCTCTCCATGCTGTAGCCAGTTGTCAGGGCAAGGGCTGCATCTATGTCCTTGGAAATAAAATACCATATCACCATGCTTATCAATAGCAGCATCTAGAGATTTCCCTCTAAAGGATCACAAAAACACTCCACAAATTGTATTATGGAACAGCAACAGCCACTTTATAGTTAAGACTGCAGCTAAGTCAGCCAAATCACCAAGAGTTTGGCTGAGCACTTAAAAACCAAAATTGAAGAGCTTCCTACAGCTCTAGTAATACTAACCCATTTAGAATTTGATCAGATCCACCAGGGCTAACTTCTCTATTTTCACAAATGAGACCTTGAATGCACACAAGCAATGAAGACCTTGTTTTATGTCTCAGCTGAGTCAGTACATCCATCAGCACAATGACTTTGTGACAGAGCGCTACCTCTTCCCCAGAGAAGAAGGGGTTAACTTCAGCCTGTCTTCCCCCTTAAGCTTGCACCCATGCCTGTAGAAGGGTATGAGAGAAGGCTGCTTCTGAGAGCCTTTGGGCAGGTTGGGCATCAAACACACAGGGACAGAGGCCTATGTGGGAGTTTTCTATTTACTGTGTGTGTGTGTGTGTGTGTGTGTGTGAATTAATTTCTTAGGGCTGGTAGGAACATTTGAGACTAAATGAAGTTTTGTTGAAATATGCTGCTTAGTCAAAGCTGAAATGTCTGGGGAAAATGTAGCAATTTCAACAACATTTTTGCTAGGAAGGTTTTTTGAGCGCAGCCCCTTCATGCTGTATAGGCTGGCGGTTAAGGCAATGGCCTGGAATCTAGGAGACTCAGGTTTAAGCCCCCACTCTACCTAATTAATAGGAGAGTTTTTCTTCCCAGATCAGTCTGGGAATTGAACCTGCTGTGTCTCCCACACCAGTGCCCTACCCCGCAAGCTGTACACACCTCTTCCTTAATTGAAAAGCTCAAGTTTTGACCTGACAGTGGACATTGACACAATTCCATTTTCATGAAAACATTCACAAGGTTTTATTTTTGTTCCAGTGTGGAACGAAAATAAAATCTGAAACCTCAAAATTGCCATCAAACAGAATTGTTGTCCCATTATTTTATTTATATTTTTTGTAGCTCTATTATTTTTATTTCTTGTTCGAAACATTGGGCCTGATTCTCATCAGGCTTGCACATTATGAAGCCATTTACACCTGTGATACCATTCTGATTTGGTGGCTTTTCATATCCACTTCGCACTCTTTTTGTACAGGTGCAGATGATGGCACAAGGAGTAAAGCAGGAGAGAATCAGACCCATTATTCCTTAAGAAGAAGCCTTTACTGTTAGTGACTGTGTTTATTCCTTCCTGCCATACCATTTTGTTAGCTGATTTCCCCTTGAACACCAAGCAGAGACTCTGGTTCAACATTGAAGTCAGAAAGAAGCAATCAAAATATTGGATTGTTTATCTGACCCTCGTGCAGACTACTACAAACCAAATACATTTGCAAAATTCCTGCATCTGGTTGGGATGGCAATACAATAATGAAAACAGTTTTTCTCTTGTGGTACTTTGGGAGGTCCAATTCTGGCTTAAAAATGGATGCAGGAATTGTTATTATTTTTGATTTTTTATTTAAAGAAAAAAGTACCCAAGACTATTTGGAGAGCTCAGAAAAGGTTCAGGGAACTTGGTTCTTGTTTTGGGATGGTTGTTTCTTTCTGCATAGTGGTTCACCCATCTGTAGTTCACAGTACAATTTTATATTGCTACAAATCCATAGCTAACTAGGAATGTCATAGTTGCCAGTGTATACCCTGGATTCTCAGGATTTCATGCTGGATGGTGATTAGGATGGAACAATGTGGAATATTGAACCCTTATGATCTGATTTATTTTGATTTTCTGTCTAGGAGACTGCTGCTATTTTGCGTTCAATTTAGAGGCAGCTTATTACAGAGGGGATTACTACAGAAACTTTTGTTCAATCTGCTCCCCTGCTTCCCTTTTTTATTGTAAAATAAAAGTGATGTAAACTGATAGTACATGGTTGTGATATGTGTATGGAAAACCTAACAAACTCAGATTTTCCTTCATGAAAAGACCAAACCCATACCGAATAAGGGATAGAAAAATCACCAGCATAGGGTCTATTAAAACAGTTGAGGAGTTTTGCTCACGTCCAGGAGAGAGCAGTGATGCTCACACTAAGGTTTTCATTAATACATACTAGAAAGACGCTGCCTTGAGGAGATCAATATATTCAACAAGTAGAGCTACTCAGGAATTTTCTGACAAAATGTTTTTTCTTTGGACAATGCTGATTTATCAAAACCAAAACTTTTCACAGGAAAGGGTCAGTTTTGACAAATCTGAGGATTCAAAATCTTTTGAAAAGAAGTTTTGAAATTGTCAGAATGTCCCATTTCAACATTTTCTAAATAAAGACTTTCATTTTTTGTTTTCAAATTTTAGTAATTTATATTTTTAAAAGGAACAATTTTAAAAGGGTGATATCAAAATAGAATGTTTTGATTTGACCTGATCCAATTTTTTTTTAAGTTTATTGGTTCATGAAAATTTTCTAGATTGCAATGTTTCAACCCTAGAAAAGTTTTTTTCATAAACTCTTGTGGGATGGAAAAAAAAAATTTCCTGCCCAGCTCTACCAACAAGAACTCCCTAGAAAAAAGGTTACCTCTGTAGCTTGCCAGTTGCTGCACAGTCTCCAAAAGGTTTAGGTTCTGCGCTTGGAGAAACTCCAACTGCTGGGTGAGGTTTCCCAGAATTTCCCTTTTCTGGGTAAGGTTTTCATGCCATTCACTCACTAGATGGGAAACCTGAGTGACTTCAATTCACAATACAACTAGAATGAAATTGTTCCATTTCATATTAGAGTATGTTATATATTTGCATATGAAGTGTATATAAATGCATATATGTTGAACAAAAAGTCAAAAAGGCATCCTTTAAAAAATGGAACTTAAATCCTAGTGAGGAAAACAGAAGGAGCATAAACTCTGGCAAGTGAAGTGTAAAAATATAATTAGGAAAGGCCAAAAAAGAATTTTAAGAACATCTAGCCAAAGATTCAAAAAGCAATAGCAAAAAAAAATTTGTTTTAAGTATATTAGAAGCAGGAAGCCTTCTAAACAACCAGTGCGGCCACTGGATGATCAAGATGCTAAAGGAGCACTCAAGAATGATAAGGCCATTGCAGAGAAACTAAATGAATTCTTTGCATCAGTCTTCATGGCTGAGGATGTGAGGGAAATTCCCAAACCCGAGCTATTCTTTTTAGGTGATATATCTGAGGAACTGTCCCAGATTGAGGTGACATTAGAGGAGGTTTTGGAACAAATTGATAAATTAAACAGTAATAAGTCACCAGGACCAGATGGTATTCACGCAAGAGTTCTGAAGGAACTCAAATGTGAAATTGAAGAACTACTAACTGTGGTTTGTAACCTATAATTTAAATCAGCTTCTGTACCAAATGAATGGATGCAGGGCCGGCTCCAGCATTTCTGCCGCCCCAAGCAAAAAAAAAAAAAGCCGCGATCGGCGGCAGCAATTGGAAAAAAAAAAAAGCCGTGATCGGCGGCGGCAGTTCAGTGACAGGTCCTTCACTCCTAGAGGGAGTGAGGGACCTGCCATCCCCGAATTGCCGCAGGTGCCACCCCTCTCCCTTGACCGTCCTTGTTAATCTGGTGCCTGGAGCCGGCCCTGACTGGATGGTAGCTAATGTGACGCCAATTCTTAAAAAGGACTCCAGAGGTGACCCCAGCAATTACAGGCCAGTAAGCCTGTACCGGGTAAACTGGTTGAAACAGTAGTAAAGAATAAAATTGTCAGACACATAGATGAACATAATTTGTTGGGGAAGAGTCACAGTGGTTTTTGTAAAGGGAAATCATGCCTCACCAATATACTAGGATTCTTTGAGGAGTTAATAAGCATCTGGACGAGGGGGATCCAGTGGATATAGTGTTCTTAGATTTTCAGAAAGCCTTTGACAAGGTCCCTCACCATAGGCTCTTAAGCAAAGTAAGCTGCTATGGGATAAGAGGGAAATTAAGCCTCACACCCCAGCTCCCTGGAAGCATTTGAAACACGCATTATCCCTGCTTCAAAGACTGTGAAACTGAGGCACAGAGAGATTGGACTAAGCTCACACAGCAAGGAAAAGTTTCCAGATCCGCTAATGCCCAAGCTGTGCCTGAACCACAAGACTGCATTTCCTCTCCTTAGTTTATTTCAAAATATGTTAAGGGTTCACATTGAATTCTTAGCCCAGCTTCCTTGCTGATACTTACACTTCACACTCAGGACCCCAGCTGTTACCAGCAAACCGAAGCAGAAGATCCCAAGAATCACTGCTGCAGGTCGCCAATAAGGAGATGGAGTGGGAGAGTCTGAGATAAAGAAAAGGAAGGGAATCGACAAATATATGGATCTTCTCACATCTAGGTCACCAGTTCATACATAGCCCCAAGTCAGCAGTGACTGAAAGTCATTCCTGTCTGATGGCTGTGCAGCTATGTGAAATGAATTGGTGGGTTCAGTCCAGTTCATAGTAATACTTTACAAAAACTCCCCTAATAATTGTGATTGGCCCCCTCTTCAACAGACAGATGCCAAGGACTGCATGGACCATGGAGATAGAAATACCCAGTGGCATTTATATATATGGATAGGTTCAAAATATTGAGATGGACAGAATAGGATGTAAGTGACTAACATATAGAGACACGTGAATGTACACATGTAAGAAAAAAACCCTCCCCACCGTATGCATTCGTTACCAAACACATATGTATATGTGTAAAACATGGCCAAGATTTTCAGCTGTGGTTAGTGATTTTGGGTGCCTTCATTTTTGAGTGCCCAACTTGAGATATTTTGAAGAGCCTAATTTTCAGAAAATACCCTCTGAAACACACATCCTCTGAAAATCAGGCCCCTTTAAAGGTGTCTCAAATTGGGCACCCCAAAAATGGACATTCAAAATCACTTTAGAAAATGTTGGCCATATAAACACAGGCATGATGCACAGAGAGTACACAAACATAGACATACGTGGAAATATATAGGTACATACAAGCAATATGGAGACAAACATATATGCAAACACAGACAAGCAACAGATGCATAACCACACACACACACACACACAATAATAAGTTGAGCTCTCATTTACTTCTCTGATTATTTATTTTTTTTTACCAAAGATGAAGAGACTCAGCTGGAATATTGATTCCGTACTGAAGGCACCATGTGAAATCCTGTGGATCCAAACAATCCAACATCTGGATTAACCATCCCCCATTCCCAACCCTAAGGGGAAGCATTCTACAGAGTCTGACTTTACTCTCTATCTAAGATCCAGGGATCCTTCTGAGGGCTGGTAATGGGGTAGCCACCAGATTGGCTACTGACAGAGAATCCCCCCAGGAAAGTGTTCCTCAGTCTTGTAAATTGATAAATTAGGATCCTGTTGGAATTTTGTTAGACTAATTCTTTGTTCCTCTAGCACCTTTAATCCTGAATGGTTCCAAAGCACTTTAAAAACTGTATATACCCTACAGAACAGGGATCAACCACACACACAGCACTGTTGTGAAGCTACACAGCATTATTTTCATTGACTCTGAAGTTAAAGGCCAAAGGGTCTTTTTCCAGCCATCTGTTCCATCCCTTGTTCCACCCAGAATTGTTCCCTACAGAATATTCCTAAGTGTTTGTTCAATTCAGTTTTAAATAACCCAATAATAATCCATCATTTCCCTTGGGACGACTATTTCGCTGACCTCTAGAAACTGATGCCTAAAATCTAGCCCGAAAATGTCCCTTTTTTATGCCTAGTTAGACCCCTTTGCCCCTGCATAAAGAGTTCCTCTGCATTCTAAGTGTATACACTCTTCAAATACTTGTAGCTATTAGTCATATGTTTTCATTACTAATTGGTTAGCTAAGAGATATATACTGAGTAACAAATTCTACCCCCATGCCACCCAAATGGCTTCATTCCCAGTGATTTAAGGGGGATCATTTGTGTGCATATCAGGGGATAATATGAGTCTTAACTCTTCTACTCTTTTCTGAAAGCCAACCCCTCCAGCTTCTTAGCAGTATAGCTCCTCTCCCTCTCCCTCCGTTTTGGAGCTGAATGCAGTTTTCTAAGAGAGGTCCCATCAGTGTCATACACAGAGGGACAACATTGAATGCTGTGTTCTAAGTAAGCAAGCTCACCACGTAAGGATCTACCCCACTCTGTTACCTTTCGCTTTGGCTTCATGGGGCTCTTGGTTTCTGGGCTGCTCCCGTGTCATGAACTTCAGATCTGCATAGGTCACTTCAGCCATTTTTGGCAAGGTTCTGAGAGAAATCCAGGTTATGGCTCAGCACACAGAGGGAGAGACCGACAGAGATACAGTTCTGGGTGTGATCCTTTGAATGGTCAGAGTCATTAGAAATGAGAGAGTGATTCATCTACAAATCAGGTGGGGACTATGACTCATGCCAGAGTTTTATAAAACAAAATCTGGGGCATTTGGGGAGCTTGTTTTATACATTGTGGGAGCTTTTACAATAGATTCACAAATTGACATTTATTTCTTCATCTGCCTCTGCAGAAACACAGTGGGAATGGGAGAGGGAGTCTTGCATTTCTTAGTTACTGCCATAAATGCATAGAGAGATATATGAAGAGACAGAGAGAGTGAGCTGAAATGTGATTAATAGGAAGTGGGCTAGAGAGGGCTAGATTCAAACTGTGCTTTACAGATTTCTTGAGGCTTCACTGCAATATGTGTTCCAATTCTCAACTTTATTATGCAATTATTAACACTTAATAAATTCAAACAACAATCCTCTTCAATGCTCCCAGTCCTCACTAGTCCTGTGGAGAACAAGAGTCCAAGCCTGAGAACTGAACTGGTTCTTCTAGGTGCTTTTGTGCTCCTGCATGGAGTTCTGACTCCTAGGGTGTAGCAGATCCAGTTTTCATAGCCAACATCCCACCTAAGGACTAAAAGAATCAGAATGGGAACTGAACCCAGGTTTTTCATCAGGCAACACAGAGCACTAACTGCTGTAGGTATCAGGCCCAGTCCTTTCAGTGCTGCCAACTCCAGAAAGTGCGATATCAATACTAGGAATAGATACTGGTTCTCCATGGTTTACAGATGAGCTGCACCATACCAGAGTCCAGCTTTACTATTTGCAGGGTCCCAAGCCATCAGAAGAAGGACCTCTAGACATGAGTTGCCTTTTCTTCTGGTCTTATTACTTGAGGTTCGTTGGAGACCTGGAAATGAATTGTTTCCTGTCCCTCTAGTCCCACTGCTGCAAAGGGACATATGGATGAGTTGCAGAGCCACCAAAACAGCAGGACCCCAAAATGTTTCTTATTTGATTGAGATTAAGACAGACCCTTAACCAGTCCTAGACTCTGTAGCAGTCCCAGCTGCTGCCTGTGAGAGATCAGGAATAGGTCTTGAACTTGAGTCTCTTGCATGGCAGCACATGGCACTAATTCAAGGAGCACAAGAACCCAGACTCAGTAGCATTCTCACTAGTTGTCACTCCAGGGGGCAACAGACCAGTATTGGGCAAAGCAGAATGCTACCTCTTTGGTGGCACCAAGCCCTACTTCCACATCATTCCCAGACCTCACCAGCCCCAGGGAGTAAAGGATCAGAGGTCCTATTCTCCTGACACAGAGAAACTCTTACATCTTTCACTAGGAAAAGTGGGCACTGTGACCTGGACTCCATGGATTTCTTGCACAGCAGTGCAGACCGCTAACTCCTAGCTCAGCCACCACATTGAATCTTCTGTGAGGTGGGTGCAGCAACCTGCTTGGAACTTGGAGGCTAGAGCACAGGTTGCAGGAGGAAGAGTTTAGAGAAGGCACCAAGAAGTCAGTCTGTATGCACATGGGCTAGAATGCTAGCTGCAGTTGCAGCATCTCTGTAAATAGTTCTCTTAATAAACAGCCTGTTTTGTTTTACAATCTGGAGTCCTTTTGTGTTATTACCCAGCATGTGGTACATGAAACAGTGGGCATATCCTTTCTCCACCTACAGGAAAAAAACAAATGGCTGTTATGAACCCCAAACTCTTTCCCATCTTCTGTTCTAAATTCACAAGGGAAATATCTGATATGACTAAAGAAGTTGGCCTTAAAAAACACTCCTCAGAAGGATAACAAAGCAGGGAAATTTCCATTGACTTCCAAGAACTGCATAACTGAATTTAATCAAATCTGGGAGGGGATTGAGACCTTGCTGAGACTGCATTAGCCCAGGAGTGTGTGTGTGGGTGGGGGGTGGTGCAAAAGGGGGAGTTCTCTGCCTGTTCACTAGCAAACTATGTTGTCACTGGAGCCCCAGTAGGAAGTATGAAGCTCACTGCTGAACATGTAATGAGCCCTTGAAATCTATGACAACAGCAGAACAACAGGACAAGGATGTTTGTGAGCAATTTTGTAAAGGGTATAATCACTTGCTTTAAACTTCTAAAAAGGGGAAAAATCTGGTGGAGAAAACTCACTTCACTGTAAAACAAATCAAAGGAAAATAAAATTATGGGATAAATGAGCCAAAGTATCAAATTGAATGTGAATTATTCTGTCACTGTGTAATAGACTAATGAGGCCATGGTTAAATTACTATGTCCAACTATAACCATGGTATTACCAGAGGCCATAGAAATTAAAGAAATGGAGCCAACATAGTTCAGCCAGAATGAATGATCATGTGCTCTCTGAAGGTCACAATTTCTGGTTATAATGTCACTCTTTCATTAGAGAAATGTTTATCACTTCATGTGATATTTTGCCAAATTTGATCAGTTTAAAATTGAAATTTTCTTCTAATACTAGCATTTCACTAAAAATCTGATTGACAATCTATTGTCAATAGCTATTGAATTAAAACTAAAAACTGACAATTTGGACTTCCGTGGATGATTACGTATGATGGACCAGATCCTCAGCTGGTGTAAATCAGCATAGCTCCACTGACTTTCAGTGAAGCAATGTTGATTTACATTAGCTGAATACCTGGCGGCTGGAAAGAACAGTTTTATGAAATGATCATACATCTAGGGTCACCGTGAATCAGTTGTAAATGCAATGATCCAGACTTTTTTTTTAGATTTATTTCTACTTTTCTAGGTTGTTAAATGAGGCTGGGTTGTAAAGTTGCAGAAAGGTTGAGTCCACACTTATAATTTGCACTTGTTTTTTTTGGTTATTGTGTGTTGAACCACGTCAGCTCTAAGAGTTATACACAGTGAATGCTGTTCAGTGAAGGCTGTACTGTCTTTTCATTTGAAACTTCCATAATATATAGGCACATTTAAAGAAAGGAAAGAACAGGAATCTGAAGCAGTCTGCAGATGGGAAAGAAGCCTCTAGTGTGTTTTTGCATGTTTCTCCTTTGCACACCAGTATTCAGTATATAGGCCCAGGTCATAAACTAATTTAGATAGAAGGGTGAGGGAGAGATGACCAGACAGACAGACAGACAGACAGATAGAAAGATAGCTATCTGAACAGTCAGAGAAGCCCATGACTCTTTTGGAGGTTGCTCATAGTGGACGGTTCTTAGCCCCCATTTTGGGGGAATGTGTGTGTTATGTTTATGAATCCATTGGTTCTGCTCTTTGCCTTTAATAGCCATGACCAGGGCTAATGATTCACCAGCTTAATATGGATGCAACGTGATTGCAACATGGAGTAACAAGTTCCACTAGTCTCTGCATTGCTCACTTCCTCAAACATATATTCATATACCAGTCCTGGATGGTTGCGGGGTAGGAATAATAACGCATTACTGAGGAGCAATTTTCCTGTTTCAACTATTGGAAAGAGTGTGTGAGAGAGAGAGATGCTAATTACATACATGGAAGCACTTCATAGATACCCGTGAGCAGTAATGTAATAGAAATCCAAAGTGGTTATACAAGAGGGAAAACAGCAGGTCATTAAAAGAGGCCTATTAAGTTAAATAGCTGGAGGGACAACTGTAATGTATGCAGGAGGAGAAGCAACAAAACATTCTCTACTATGGTAAAGGAGTTGTGGGGCATTGTCAGAGCTGTGAGGAGAGCCCAGGACTGGAATAGCAGGGGGGCTGCCGGGCAGGACTGAGGGGCAGCAGCAGAGTTGTAAGGAAAGCCCAGGACTGGAATAGCAGCGGGGCTGCAGGGTAGGATTGAAGGACACTGGCAGAGCTGTGTAAGACACTCAAGACTTGAATAGTGGAAGTTTCTGCAGGTCAAGACTGCCTGCTTTGGTAGAGCTGGAAAGATGGGGGCCAGGATTGGAATAGCAGAGAGTTCTGCATATCAGGACTGAGGTGATCACCAGAGCAAAGGGGGAGGCACCAGCTGAGAAAAAGGGAGCACTGCATATTAAGAGTGAGGTGTGTGTGAAGAAGTTTTTAGGTATGTGTGAAGAAGTTTTCCATAACACATACACACACCGTTCTGCCCATCGTGCGCCAGCAGGCATGTCCCAGGTGCAATGTGCTTTCCATTCTGATTCTGGGCTTCTGGTTAGACTCAGCAGGGCAGAATAGCAAGAGCATAATGATGGGAGGGTGTTGAGGGAGGAGAATAGGAGGGGTCACATCGGAGTAAAGCAGAAGGCGAACAAATGACCTTCAAACTGCACCAGTCTCCCTGGACGAGGGGGAGGGGAGAGAAGTAATTGGGAATGAATAAGGTCAGAGCACCTTCCCCCCACCCCCCATAGAAGAGAGTTCTCCATTCTCAGTTCTTTCAGGATCGTGGGTAAATTTTTCTCATTGATTCCCTGAGCTAGATCAGTTGGAAACAACAAAGCTAAGTGACTGGCATCCTCAGTTCTTTTCCTGAAGTGACTGGATGGTGTTTGAGCTCCCTTCTGAAGGGAAAGAAAGAGAGTAACAGAGTGAGACAGACATTGGCAGAAATATATAAAGAGAAAGACAAAGAGAGAAGAAGGCAGACAGAAAACCAGAGTGTGCGTGAGCGGGAAAGACAAACCCAGAAGGGTGCAGAAAGCAGTAGAGTAAGACGAAGAGAGAAGGAACTCACCCTGGAAAGGGAGTTTCCCTGCTTCTCACCCCACTGTGAGGACTGGCGAGGATGAACTGAAATTAGGAAGGAGGCACTGGCCCTGAGCTATATGGGACAGCAGGGTCAGCTGTTTTTTCTTCATGGGGATCGGTAGCCCGCTTGTGACCCTCTCTGCTCTGGCAAGTCTCTCTTGGGTGAGTCACATCATAGGTTCCTCTTTGGCAGAGTTTGGCCTCTGCTGGGGCATTGTATTACATCAGAAAGTTCAAGGAGATTTGAGCCAAAGATAGATTTGAAGTAAGAATTTCCCTGATATAAAAGTATTGGGGAAATAAAGTAGGGGCA